AAAAAAAAAAAAAAAAAAAGAAAAGGCTGATAGGGTACAGTATGATTCCCCCTCCTGGAGTGTCATGCAATTTTAGCTTGCTGCATCCACTTAAAATAAACACTCTGCTATATACAGCCATGATGTACCATGATCAGGGTCATGTATTTTCTACTATCACTAAAGGGATACACACTTCAATAATAAGTGGAGTAAATAAAGCTAACAAACAATAAACACTACCTTTTCCTTTACATTCCATTCTATAAGAAAATAAATTGATTGGGCTAGGGATTTAGCTCAGTGGTACAGCACCTGCCTTGCAAGCACAAGATCGTAAGTTTGATTCCCGGTACCCGCCCCCCAAAATAAATAAATACATTGGTAAAATGCTACTTGGCTAAGGAAAATAAAATATTTTATTTTATTAAAGGTATTGAACAGCAATTGATGCTAACTTTCTTTTTTTTTTTTTTTTTTTGGTACCAGGGATCGAACTTGGGTCCTTACGCTTTTGAGGCAGGCGGTGGAACCAATGAGCTAAATCCCCAGCCCTTAGCCGGTGATTCTTGCTCTTAATCAATTAGAATTCTTTGAAAAGGCATCCCATTGCATTTATTGCAGGAATAGTTCTAAGGCCTGGCTAAGAGGTTTTGAAAAACAAAACAAAACAAAATAAACATATTCTCATCACAATGCATGACTTTCTATTTAGAGAAATCAAGTTATGATATTCTCCAAATGTGTTTTACTGATTCAGTTACACAGATATTGAATTTAACACAACAGAGATTGAGTGGCAAAGCCAAAACAAAGAGATCATTTTGATAAACAAAACCCAGGCAGTTTTGTTCTCTTTTCTATCTTCATTAATAAAATAAGCTATTATCATCTTCTTAAAGGGACAATGATACTCATGATAATAACCTTCCTTTCTAGCATTTATTATAGTGACACAGAGAGGGTCAAAAAGTAAAGCACCATTTGGGAAAAGACTTCTCTGTCATGTTTACCCAGGACATCTGCTGATGTCAAAACAACTTACATCTCTGTAGCACAAGATAACCCTTGTATTTCTCCTAATGATTTCATCTGTCAACTCCTACTTGCTAGCACTGATAAGTCTCTTCTACATGGGAGTTGGTTCCCTGTGGGTTTGCTGACCTGAACATCCTAATTCTACTCTCAGCATTTTTCTTAGATCTCAGTAATTTTCAGTCTCAGATTTAGCTAATGAACCCACTACAAGTTTCAAGTATTCTTACCGGTACTGGCAACATCAAATTATATACTCTGAGGCTGGCATATTAAACGTCTGCTTTAGTTTTCTATTTCACTCACTGTATTTCCATCTTCACTTTCCTTTTAAATATCACGGTTAGAATCTACACCACCTAAAGTCATTTACTTCTTACTGTATGTCTAAAAATGCTTACTATTTCTTCCTTTGGCAATTAATTCCTGCATGACCTGAATTAAATTGTTTTTTGGGTCATCTTCAAATGTAGAATGGTAAAAGCCGGACCTCCCTCTCAGGGATGCCATGGGAACAGCATCAGGAAAGAATCCTGCAGAAACATAGTAACCAGTATGCATTCATCTCTGTATTATTATTAAAATGTAGTTCAAACTAGTTTTAATGGCCAAAAACTCCTAGTGTGTGTGGGTTTCAATATAAAATTTTAGTTATGAACAATGCCAATCAAAATGGAAGTTCCAGAGAGAATGACATGGAATATTATATGATTTTTATGCCTGAAAATACAGATGGAAAATGATTTTTAAAAAGCTAAAGTTCCCCCCACCTTTTTTTGAGACAAGGTCTCACCGTGTAGTTCAGGCTGGCTTTGAACTACTATGCAGCACAAGGTGGCCTAGAATTCACTGTGATTCTCCTGCCTCAGCCTCCCAGGTGTGCACTACCATCCCCAGCTAAAAAGCTAAAGTTCTCTCGAAAATTACAAATCTCGAAAATTACATTTTGTTTTAAATAAAACAGCCTTCTGTATAACTTATAATTTTAATTTAATGAGGTTTTTAGTTTAGTTGCAAATCCACTAAATTTTATAATATAGCTGGTCCAAGCAGAAATGAACAAACAGTAACTTACTCATAAAAATTTCTCTTAATGTTTACTTCTAATAACAAAAAGCTATTCTTCTTTTTTTTTTCGGTACCAGGGATCGAACTTGGGTCCTTGCACTTGCAGAGCAGGTGGCGAATCACTGAGCTAAATCCCCCGCCCTCAAAAAGCTATTCTTACTTAAAATAACTTATGACTTAATTTTGTGTTTTGTTCATAATTCTAATGTGAGAATTTTGTTACAAATTGGGGTGGAAATCAATCAAATCATCTTCTACTCTTCTGAAATGGCTTTTTATGATCTATAAAGGTAATATCAATTATGCTCCACACATTTTTCTGTTTCTTGGTATGGAAGTCTCACTAACTATAAAGGTCCACAGTGGAATGATGAAGAAAACAGCTTTTTGGCTTGTAAATCCTCAACTTTTGCATTTATTTGGGAAAACTACATGAAAAGATCAGGAATATCAGCACAGGACTACCTACTTAGTTCAGGGCACTTTTTTTTTTTTCTTGGTACCAGGGATCAAACTTGGGTCCTTCTGCTTCTGAGGGAGGCGGCAGAACCACTGAGCTAAATCCCTGGCCCAGTTCAGGGTACTTTTTACACCATACTGTGTTTGAGCTCAGGTAAAACTGAAATACCTCAGAGTTTTACTACTTAAAGTCCTAGTCCTGTAATTTGTACAAATGTAATTAAACCTTCCTTAAGATCAGGTTTTGAGTGGGAGAGTGCACAAGGATCTAGGATGTTGTGGATCCAAAAGGCACAAGTGAAGTAGCTGGCAGAGATGGGAGGAAGGTACAGAGAGAAAATCTCATCCTACTCACAATTCTGCCTAAAGAGGACACCAAGGGCCAGGATTTAGCTCAGTGGTTCCGCAACCTGCCTGGCAAGCGGAAGGACCCAAGTTCGATCCCCAGTACCAAAAAAAAAAAAAGAGTACACCAAAACAATCAGGACTTCTAGGTAGTTTAGTTAGGAAAACTTGCCGTAATGATATGCTAAGATATTTCTAGGTGCTTTAATGATCATATATCCAGAGGGCATGGTAGCAAAAACAATTCTCTAACAAACTATTTCCTAAAACAATTTATACAAGGTAGTTAGTCTGTGGATTTCTTTACAGTAATTAGGCTAGAAAAAGAACATTTTTGCTTGGGATGGTAAAGAATTCAAGTGGTTTGAAGTCTTTTCTTCATTACAAACCCTAAGCATAGGAGTAAAATTACCATTCTACTGCCTGAAATTGGGAAGTTTATCTGTGAAAGATAAAATTTCAGTTGTTACATCCTGCACTACAGTATATCTTAGAAATTGTGATAGTACTATTCAGAGTATTTCAAGCAAGTTCAAAATACTTAACATCCAATCTCCTAAAGCTCTGGATAAATCCAGTAATGGTCAATGGCAAATGAAAGGAAGGTAGGTCTGAAAGTAGGTCATCAAGATACTAACATTGTCGGGGCACATTTTCATTCCTTATAAAACAGAAATTATCTTCTCCTAAGTTCCTCTGCTGACCTCTCTTCACATCAAGACCTTTCAAAGTGACAAAAAAGCAGTTACTTCTTTATTCCCTGCTGACCCAAACTCTGTGCCTCATGAAAGTTCCTAATTTTATTATATCTGAACATACAGCTCAACCCCAAGTGATTTAGGTACAATATCTTACTTGGAAGCTAACTTTTAATAGAAGTCATATAAACTATGAAAGTATTTCTGCTGGATTAAGAGTGTGCAGAATAATGTGGATCCATCTGTGCAAACACCAAAGCAGTCAGGCTAGGGGTCCTACCTTCTCTGAGAAAGCAGTGAAGGTCATGGCGTGGGTCATAAGTGACTCACCAAAAGACAACCTCTCAGCTTTATTCATGTTCTTCAAGGAGACACCAAACACCAACTCATGGTCATAGCTGTAAAAAGAATAACACTACAAAAATAAAGGGAGCACAATCCTGCCTTCTGACTATAAAAGGAACACAGGAAACTGAAGAGGTTCAACAGCTCTAACTAAATACGGGGTCTAGTTGTAGCTCTTTAGAAAGAACATGGCATATGCACAATTTTGTGTCTCAATAGGATTCCATTCTTTGAAACGATTAAAGATTAAATTCACCATATCAAAAGATGGCATAAAGAGTTTGCATTATCATTTTGGCAAGAAAACTTTGAAAAAGGTATGAAAAAAAGCAGTTGAAGTAATTTCTTACAAAAATGGTCTCTTTCAAGCTGGAACCAGCCAGTTCTGAATTCATTTAAAACACTGCTGACTGTGAAATTTTAATAAACAATGCCAAATACTTTGGACAATATTTTCAAAATTTAAAACCCATTCCCTTTTAGATTTCTTTCTTTTGTTAACTATCAAGATATTTTTTTCAACTTCCTACTAATATCAATTACTTATAAGTAACTCTCAAATGGCATATTTTAACAGTCAAAGAATCTAGTATGATTTAGTTTGCAAATGAACCTTCACTATCATAACAGACAAGGATGAATGCAAATTAGTCCTACTTGTCATGAAGACAAAACACATAAGAAATCAAAGTAAGATAAGCAGTATGAGAAACATCAAATAGCAAATAAGAGCTCTAGAAAATCTTTCACTATACTCCCAAGTGCACTGAGCAGATTTATACTGTAATCAATTATTTTTTTAAAGTGTCTTTCTCTTTAAGGATGCTTTATAAGAAGACCAATGACTTCTACTAAAGTATGATCTTGATCTCCTGGGTTTGAGCAGTTAAATATGTGGAGTTTTTGCTATGTGATCTCACACTCTACAGGATGCAATGAAAGAGACCCACCCTTAGGCCAACCTCAGTTTTTGGATGAACTTCAGCAGTAGTCATTATGTACCAAGAGTGTACTCTAACAGCAACAGCCCAAAATGACTATTTTAAATTTCTTGCACTCACATATTCATGTCACTGAGGCCCAGCTTGCCACTGAAGTGTTTTCCAACATCACAGCCAAACCACACAGCCTGGAAATAGAAAAAGAAGGAGAAAAAAAATCAACAAAAACCCTATTTTCTTAAAGAAGTAAAAGAAGTTATTTTAACCCCAATGTGGGAGACATAAAAGCAATACTACCTCTCCATCCTTGATGGAAGCAGCAACCATCTTTTTCAAGAGGTCAATGGGCTGGTTGTTATACAGAGTTCTCCTCCCTCCAACCATATTGCTCAAGTAGTCTACAGTATAGAGTTTATTATACTTGTGTTGAGGCCGTGGATCATTCACGAAACAAATCTTTCAAGATCAAGAGTATGCTGATTAGATCATAAAATCAGGAACATCAAGCAAGACATGCCTTTCTTCTCTAGGTTTGTAAATTTGCACTGAACTCATCACTTCTGCCTACTAGAATAAACATTATAGCCACACTATAAAGTAACAAAGAAATAATAAGTGGCAAAATACATGTGAGGAAGGCCCTTGCATATTCTAATTAGTGCAAGGGACGCATCTGGGAGCTGCATCTACTTGTTTTTCCTATGGGCAAGAACTGCACCAAAATTACTTCTAAAAAAACTGCATGTATTCCAGTGACATGGAGAGCCTATTACTACAAGGTTCCTTCTCTCAAGTTATAAGACAGTATCAATGCTCGGCAATACCATTTGCTCGGAAGAGTCAAGATTATCAATAAAAGGAAGGAGACTCTGGTCATATTGTTAGGCAGATGGGGAAGACCCCAAGGGAGTAGAAAAAATTAAGATGCAGCAACGCTCCCTTCAACAATAAAGTCCCCAGAAATAAAGTCTACAATAAAGTCCACAGTGTGGAGGTGCTCTGAATCCAGCATAAGAAATAATACACCTTCTTTGTCTTTGCACCTGAGAATGATTCTGGGCCCAAATCAAGGGACCAAAGAGATATAAACTGACTGCTGGCCTAAAGTCAGAAAAGTTTCTGAAGAAGAACACTGGGGAAACGTGATAGATTCTGGCATGCCAAGTTGATAAGGTACACACAATATTTCAGACTATGGAAAATAAAAAGTTCATTTGGTGTTTAGTTTGATAATCACACATTAACCCAAGAATATCATATACTTCCTTATACAATAAACATCTGAAAATAAACAGTCAGTTGCTGCCAATGCCAGTCTCCAACCTTATCTTCCATATTGAAGAGTGGCTTGACATGTTCCCTGTAAAACTCCAAAGGTGTTACGGGGCCAATCTTGTGATAATTTTTATCTTTGTCTCGATACTCCCAGGTGAATGTCTCTGGTGGATTACCCAAACAGATGCACACCACCCGGAATATCTGCAAGAGAAGAGGAAAGATGAGCAATTGTAGAGGAAAGTGTTATTTTTTACCGTTTCATTTTCCTCAAATTTGAGAAACATAAGAAATTAGTGCCTAGGGCTGGGGATTTAGCTCAGTGTTTCCGCCCCCTGCCTCATAAGCAAAAGGTCCCGAGTTCAATCTCCCATACCAAAAAAAAAAAAAATTAGTCCCTGAATTCAAGGCACAAATTTCACAAAAAATCTAGTACTTCTCTAAAAACTAGAAAGTTTATGTCCAGAATCTGGTATCAGTCAACTTGTGAGTTCTCAGATAAACACTCAGAGCAATGTACTTTCACAATGTTAACATTTAGTTCTTAGTATTTGTCCTACAAATTAAACTTCCTTATCTAAGGAACTAAGATCTGGGTTGTTACTCTACTGACAATTTTTCAAGTGACAATGACGTTTTATAAATCGACTTCCTTCCCTTTATGCCTTGAGGGTTTCCTTTGATTGTGACAGGAGCCTACTCAGAACAGTCATTAACTTTTCAACTAGAACTTGATGATACCTGTTAAAAGTATTTTTTTGTGTGATTCCAAATTGCTCTTTTAATATATTTCCAAAGAAAAATAAACATTGCATAAAACTAAATACAGTAATAGTTTAGCTGCACGTTTACTACATGCATGAACAAGCACATACATATATAAATACATATATTAAGCAGTTGTTTTCAAAACATGATTACATATTATGCATTAATGGCTGGATAATCCTTATTTATGTTTGTTAAAAGTATTATTAAAAAAGGAATAACTTTTAGTAATATTGTGCTGAGCCTGGGCAACTTAGCAAGATCCTGTAGCAAAATAAAAACATTTAAAAAGGGACAGGATATGTAGCTCACTGTGAATGTCTTGGGCTCAGTCTCGTACCACACTAGTCACCACTCTGATCCAATCCCATCACTTATTTATTTGCAATATTTGTACCACACTTCTGTGTACTCTATTACATTCAAGAGAAATGGATCTTATATTTCTTAAATGTACTTATTTGTGCTGGATACTATGTATCTGCCAAGTTCTCTTAATTATTCTCAAGGTATAGCCCCCCACCCCCCACCAATTATTTTTCAAAAGAGAGTGGGACCCGAAGTAACTGAGTAATCTACTTAAGATTGCTGGTAACTGGAAGACCACAATCTGAACAGAAGTCACATGCTGTCAAAAAAGAAAACAACAGTATTGCTCCTTGGCTACCAGCTTTAAAAGGGGAACACTTATGTTCCCTTGCTTCACTAAAATCTTTGAATACAAAATCCCTTAATTCTCTCAACAAAGGTGGTAGCTACTTTTTTCCCAAGGTTTAGGGAAATAATAGCTTGTCTAAAGTCACAAAGCCAGGAAATGGCAGAATTAGGATTTGAACTCACACCTGACTTCAACACTATTTCCAAAATCCTATGAATTTACTACTTTCTGAAACTTTCTGGGTTTCATGTAACTTGTCTCCTATAATAAATTACACATTTTTAAAGAGTAAGAAGGAAACCACGGATACTCTGTGTCCCCTGTAGCATCTAGCACAGTTCTGAGCACATGATTGGATATATCAGTAGATCTGGCTCATTCTCCACACCACCACAGAAGAAATAATTTTAGAAGCTCCTACAAGAAATCCAAAATCCAAGACCTATTTTTTTTTTTTACTTATTTTACTTAGACATAACATGTTTAGTTAGTATGGGAAGTGCACTAATCTTAAGTGTATGACTCATTCAATTTTTTTTTTTTGGGTACCAGAGATCGAACTCAGGTCTTTGTGCTTGTGCAGCAGGCGGTGAAACCACTGAGCTAAATCCCTGGCCTCAATTCAATTTTTTAAAACAAGCATATATGCCCATTCAGATCAATATACAAAACATATAGAAAAGGGTTCTTTGGCTGCTTTACAGTCAACAACTCATACTTTCCCACAGTAAACTACTATTTTGACTTCTATAACAATGGATCAGCTTTGCCTGTTCCTTAACTTCATATAAATGGAAGCACAGACCTTATTCTCTTTCATGTATCTCCCCTTTGGTCATTCCTGTGAGATTCACTCATGTTGCTGTGGGTACAGGCAACTTGGCTTTCACTGTTGTGATTCTACTATTTCACAGAAGGTTAACTTAGAAAAGAGGTTATGCTTGCCTTTTATTTTGTATTGTTTCTGTTTTCCAAGAGATCATTCCTTCATTAGGATTTACTCTGTGTTTTATGAGTCTGAACAGCTGGTCCTGAAAGCACCTCTCTTTTAATGTTGTATCATTCTCAGGTTGGTTTCTAGCACAGAAAAGAAGAGGCAGGGAGGTACAAAAGTAACTACAATTGAGTTACTCTAGCCATGGATTAATGAACTTTGCTCTGGATCCTCATGGACCAGAAAGTCATTCTGCATTTGCTTAGCACCAAGGCTACAAATGGCAATTTTAGGAATCTGTCACTATAAGGAGAACATTGCCACTAGTAACTATGGTCAAGACAATGACAATGAGGATGTATAGTTAAAATGTATCTAGATTAGGAAGATTTTATAGACTTAAATGATGTGTCCTTTCAACTATTAATTGTTGTCGTGTGGTTATCTATAACAGTGAAACTATTTTGACCAACTCTTAGTTATCTAAGAGTGAGTGGTAAATCCAGCTCAGCCAGGCTCTGGGCAAAAAAAAAAAAAAAAAAAAAGGGTGGGGAGGAGTTCAGAGCAAGGCCCCATGAAGATTAAGACAACTAAGTGAATGTCCTTTCACTTTTAAATCATATTTTTAGAGGTAAAGATGATTATTTTATAATATAATTTGCATAGGACTATGATGTGCATTTCACTTCCTACCTGAAGTAAAAAGTGTTAAGTTATTCCTTCTTCTAAAAACTGTGTTGGGGGAGATTCAGTGTTAGAAGGTTTACCATGCATAAGGCCCTATGTTCATGCTGCAGTACCACCAAAAATAGGGGGGGTTAAAAGAAATCTGTATTTCTGCTAACTTAAACGAATTCTATGCTGAATCCTTTTGCAAGACAAAACTTATACTATATTCCATATGCTTTATAAATCTGAATTTTATCAAGTATACATTTAAAGAATGAAGGTAACATCTTTTATATTCTGTAAAACTCTTGAGTCATATAATTTTATTTTATACCATTCATTTACCATGACTATAACGTATCCAAAGTAAGTCACATTTAAGTCAGTTTGTAACACTCTGGAAGAGATATTTGGCTCTAAGTCAAACAACAGCAGTTAGTTAAATAAACTCCAATTTTAAAAAAATCTCCAAAGTATAATTTCTTTCTTTCTTTTTTTTTTGGTATCAGGGATCGAACTTGGGTCCTCGCACTTGCGCAACAGGCGGCGAAACCACTGAGCTAAATCCCCGGCCCTCCAAAGTATAACTTCTAAGGCCCCTGATACTAATTTTTTTGATAAGAGTCTCTGCTGTTCTGAAATAACATTCCTTATTCTCAAAGGTATACAACTGGCAATGAGCTTAGGATATCCAAGTCTGCTCTCTGGTGGACAACACAGGAGTATGTCACCTGCTTCTCACAAAATGTACCTGGCAAAGAAAAGGTGCTGGCCATTGAATGCAAGTCATTATATTATATGGACTTATACAAAACAATAATATAGTCATATTCCTCAATATAATTTACACATTAAAACCCATAATTTGTCCTTTGGGGAAAATGTATTTGTAATTTTAATTTAAACTGTGCACTCCACCCCAGTACTTCCAATCTTTATTTTTCCCCACTTATCTACTGGCATATTATACTTTTCATATATTTACTTATTTTATTTATCTCTCCCTCCTAGAAAGTAAACTACAGTACACAAAAGTAGGATTCTTATCTGTTTTGGTCACTGCTGCAGGTCATGTTAAAGAAGTATTTACTGAACACATGACTTTTAAGTGTTATTTTAGACCAAACTCGGTGTCAGAACCAGCCTGATGAAAAGGTATTAAAACGGAATCAAAGGGATGGGCTCAGGAAATACGAGTTTTCTAAAATGCTTAAAAAGCTGAAGGTAGAAGATGCATGACACAATGGGGAACTGATTCTGTTTTTCCCCAAATCCCCAAGCCAATAATGATGTGGTCTTGCTGATTTTGAATGTGGTTTTAAAAAACCAGAAGAAATCAATATATGTAATTATTCCTTTAAATATAGATTATTAGAGAAAATTGTCCAAAATTTTTTGATCCACTGAGGCCCTTCCCTCATACCCTTGGAGAAGAGAGGGAATGTCGAATCATGTGAGATATATTGCGTCCACATCTCCCTCTTGGGATCATCTGATTTCTGATTATTTCAATTTTATATCTTTATAATTAAATCAGGATTTAATCTTGTTATGTGAATATATGCAATCCCTTTCTACCAACACATAACCCATCAGAAAAACTATAGCTGGTATCAGAAAGGTCTCACTCCTATTTCTAGTAAAATGCCACGTGTAAGAAGGCAGAGTGTAAGTTTTATAAAGGAGCTCTATTATAAGTGGTCTCTAAAAATATTTTCCCCTAGCACAAAGATTTATTTAAAATGATTTGCTGAATTCTAACACAGTAAATAATAGAATCAGGACAGGGAAAAAGAGAGAAAAAAGGGACACATCATGAAAAATGGAACACGGGGAAAGATGTATGGATCCCAATTTAAAGACAAATAAACAGGATTGGGTCAATTCCCATACCCATAGCTAAACCAGAAGACAGAAAAAAATGAAAGAAGAAAAGACGCTATGGGTGAAAGTCAGTCTTGAATACTTAGCTTTTATGCACTGCTGGGGACTGAACCCAGGCTTCATCCATGCTAGGCAAGCATTTTACCACTGAGCAATATCCCCCAGCCCTAGTTATAAATACTTAGGTGAGAACTTAAATTTAAAGCTAGCTACAGCCCAGTGTGGTGGTGCACGCCTGTAATTCCAACACTTTAGAGTCTGAGGCAGGAGGATCGCTGCAAATTTCAGGCAAGTCTAGACTTCATAGTGAGACCCTACCTCAGAAAACCAAACAAAGAAAAATTTAAAAATAAGCCAGCTATAGATAGACACAGAATGGAGGAAAGATTAGAAGAAGGTGGTTCAAGATAACCAAGCTCATAAGGGAGCAAAACTGCTAAGACTACAAGACAGCTGTGGTTGCAAACACTGCAGAAGGGGCAGAATCTCAGACTTTTCATTTGTACTGGCAATAATGGGTTGTTGAGAGGGTATACAAGGAAGTCTAAAGCATTGTAAAAATATTAGTTACTTCTCTTATTATAAAAAGCAAAACTAGGGCCAGGGATTTAGCTCAGTGGTTCTGGCGCCTGCCTCACAAGCACAAGCTCCTAAGTTCGATCCCCGGTACCAAAAAACAAAACAAAAAACAAACAAACAAAAAGCAAAGCTACACTACTCCTAAGCAATCATTTACCCCAATTTTTTAGTTTTATTGATGAAGATACTAAGCTCAAGTGTAAAATGACCTATTGATGGTAGAGTAGCCACAAGGATATTAAAGTGGTCATAGAAAAAAAGCCGAATTGTGAATGTAGTTCAGTGCTATGGGGAATGGGCTAATTACAGGAGAGTAAGGGACACTGGTGACTGTTGATATGTAGAGAAATGGCAAGAAAGCTCTCTACTGCTTTCTAGTGGAAAATGAAAGGGAAAGGATTTATTTGATAAAACTAAAAGGAAACAGGTTCTATCAAATATAGGTAAGGGTGTAAACTGGTATAATCCCCAGGATAATTTGACATTACATATCAAAATTATAATTATATACTCTTTGACTCAAAAATTTTGCTTCTAGAAATGTAACCTATGAATATATATGCACATGTACAGTGATATACATATAAAATTATTAACAAGTTTAAAAAGAAACAGAATGTACATTAATAAGGGATCAGTTAAATTAACTATGGTACATCCAGACAATAAAATATTATAGAAGTATTTTAAATGCAGAAACTCTTTTTTTTTTTTGGTACTGGGGATCGAACTTGGGTCTTTGTGCTTGTGTAGCAGGCGGCGAAACCACTGAGCTAAATCCCCCGGCCCGAGAAACTCTTAATATATCAATATGGAAAGATTAAACATATTAAGTAAAAAAACACGGTGCAGAATAATATGAATAATACATTAAGTGTGAAAAAAATTTGTATTAGATTGCAAAAGAAAGATTTCTAGAAGGCTAACTAATAGTTAACACTAATAACAAACTGATAAAGCTAATTTAGGGGTGGGGTGGGAATTGGAAGGAAGAACAGGGTGGGAAGACTTTTTACTGTATACTTTTTATATTACGATATTAATTTTTTAATCAAAGAAGTCTTTAAAATAAAAATACAGATAACTAGGTTCCAATCCCAGGGAAACTGATTTTACAGGTCTGGGCAAGCCCAGGACTAAATACTGTTTTTAAGAACTAAGAGCCACTGCTGTAGAATCTCCTAAGCCAATCAAAATGGTTCATATCCTTTTTCAAAGCCCTGACAAAAATTATTTTGGTCTCTATTTTATGATTTGTTTTTAACAAATAGAGTTTTGGTAGAAAATACTCTGGGAATCTGGAGGCTAAAAGAGTAGACACATTGAAAAAACACTGAGTAGAGGTGACTACACATTTTCCAAACAGATCTACCTTGTCTACACCTCCACACACAACCTGCACTCCTCTTAGAATGCCTTTAGCATAAACATATTTTATTCAAAGCAAACAGCTTCATGGCTGTTCATTTAAGTCATCATTTTGACTTGCCCACAAGGCTAAGCAAATCACACATAGTAATTTGTGGCTTCTTATGAAGCAAAACTCTTCATTACCAAAGAATCAGGCTAAATAAAGAAGAGTCATTTGAGGGATTGTAAAAATTTAAAAACCTACCACACAGAATTCTGTAGTGAACAGTTTAGGTACAACCATTAAATAAACAATCCTAGAAAACATCCATATTCAAGCTGGTTGCAGACATACACCTGTAATCCCTGAAGTGAGGGAGGCTGATGTAGAATCTCAAGTTTGAGCCCCGCTTTGGCAACTTAGTGAAGTCCTATCTCAAAATAAAAATTAAAAAGAGCTAGGGATGTAGCTGAGTACCAAGGCCCGGAGTCCAATCTCCAGTAATGGGTGGGCGGGCGGGAACTGGGGGGGTGGAGGTGGGGATAATGTCCATATTCAGGTCTCGGTGTAGCGTCTTACTATTTCAAGGTAGAGGTAGGAGAGGAAAAAAACATGTAAAAATGTACCTGCCCTAAATCTTTTTTTTTTTTGTGGTACTGGGGATTGAACTCAGGACCTTCCACTTTCAAGGCAGGTAGCAGAACCACTGAGCTAAATCCCCAGCCCCTGCCCTAAATCTTAATAACAACTCAGTCTTCTACTAATCATATGGTTAGAACATGGATCTTAGACCATTAATCCAAAGATCAATAAAGCAAACACTACAGATCAATAGTATGATATGCTCTATAAGTATTATCTAGGATCATTTCTATAACTTTTACAGAACCTTTATCCCTGGTATACTCTGACAACTTAATCTAATCATAAATGAAGGCATATTTGCCCTCTGCAAGAGATACCATTCGAAGTAGAAGAGAAGAGAACTGATTACTGGACTTCTGCTATGTGCCAGGTGCTATGCTTGCATTCTTACATTTAATCCTTTATATAATCTCCACAAAATTCCAAGGAAGAAGTTTTTAAATCTTTTAAGTCAGGTTAAGTGAGCTACCCAAGACCACAGGCCATTAAATCCATGTTGTCTAACTCCAAAGCCTGTTTTTTCCTACTATCACAAGATATCTCTCTTCAATAAGAACATTTAAGAAGTAAAGAAAGGTAAATAGGGGATCATTTAAATGCACTTGGTAAATGAAACCTCTGTATTCACCCACTTAACAAATACCTAAGAAACAGCTATTGTGTCAAGCACTGGTCTAACCATGTTACTCATGAACAAACTGAGATTTGAGAGCTTAAGGAATTTGTCCCAGGACACATAGCAGTTAAGAGAAGACTAGCATTCAATCTGACTCCAGAGCTCATGCTCTCAATTATTCCTCTATAGTGCTTCCCTGAAATGTAAAGGAATCTCAGCACCTAGGACAGTCTTGGTATACAGAACATAGTCAATAAATATTTATTGAATTAAAAAAAATTTAAAAGAAAGAAGTGCATTAGTGAAGCATGAGTGTTTTCCACTGCAGTGAAAAAATTAAGCCACTATAACTTCACAGTCATGAAAGGAAGCCTACCAATGAGTCCACTGGCTGAAAAAGGGAATTTTTCCCCCCTAAAGCAATCTCAAGTTTTATGAATAGTCACTCTGGGTATGGATAGCATTAAGTAATAAAGATTCTTAACCGCCTTGATAATAAATACTATTACTGTTGACTTCTGGGAAGATGGCAGAGTGGTGAACAGCAGAGAAACAGCGTTCGGTGCGGATATAGCAATGCGAGGAAGAGAAGACGGAAGTGGGTTCCTGGGACCCGACAAGGATTTGAAGCCAGAATTGAAGATATGTTTTTTTTATATACAATGAAGTACTAGTCTGTCATAAAGAAGGATAAGCTTGAGACATTTCTAGGTAAATGGATATACCTTGAGACCAAATAAATTGGACACATGTATTTAAATATCGCACTGTTTCTCTGGTGTGAGAAATGGAAAGTGTAAATAAGGACCAAAATATGTAATAGATATTGGGAAATGGGAAGAAAATGTTCACATGAGAAGGAGAGGGGAGGGGGGAAAGAAAGGAAAGGGCAAGAAAAAAAAGAGAATAGAAGGCAAAAAATGGTAACAAAGGTTTTGTAAATAAAAGAGTGGAAGAGGGGTTGAAGGAAGGGAAGGGGAATGCAACAAAAAAAAGCAGATATATCATGTACAGGCACAAATTCCCTATGATGAATGTTATTATGTATACCTAAAATGTACCAATAAAAATGAAAAAAAATTATTACTATATTATATTTGGTGCTTTTTAAGTTTCCCAAAATGTTTTCACATACTTTAACTGATATAACCAGCAACAATTCCTCATCTTTATTCCTACAGATAAAAACAAAAGTTCTGGGGCCAGGGATTTAGTTCCGCTGCCTGCCTTGCAAGCGCAAGGACCCGAGTTCGATCCCTGGTACCAAAACAAAAACAAAAACAAAACAAAAGTTCTGGCATGTCATGCCACTGTATATTCAATGCCCTTTGCCTGACATGAGCTTCCCTGTTATCCACCTGGTAAATTCCTATTGCTCTTTTCACAGCTGATTTAAATATCTTCCCTACGTAACCTCCAGCTCAACAAATTAGTTATTCCTTTATGCCACCAAATCCTCTTTTACTTTTCTTGTGTAGGATTCACTATAATTACTCATGTGTACTTTGTTCTCCAAGAGTAAGATCCTTGAGAGCAAAGACTGGCTTTTTTATCTTTCTGTTTTCTCAGTGCTGAAATCACAGAAGGTATTCAATATTTACACAATGCATTTAAAAAAAAAAATCAATACTAAAATGCAAAGCAAGTTTAAGCCTCAATTTTTTCAACTGTAAAAAAGTAGTTTTTATTCAATTAAATATTCCATTGCAATGGCTATGCTTCCTAATCAGTTTAACAGACAGAAATAGTCTTCGAGTTCTTTAGATAAGACATAAAAATCCAAATAATTGTTTCTACCTCCTCCATCATGGCATCTTGTGTAGCAGAGATTTCTCCTTTGGTTGCTCCACTGTGTACCAGGTTCCGTAGTCGTATACAGAATTCTCTCATCTATGACAGAAACTTAATTCAGCAATCCAATAGGTACCCCAAATAAATATGCCTAACAAACCAATGCTAGTTCTATTTTGAAGCATAACTCAGCCACGACCTATGGCAAAGTTTATTTTAAAAAAAGAATGTTTCCCCCAATTAGTTCACTTAAAATATATAGCAAAAATACTTTGCATAAAGAGAAAGATGTGGATTATTCCCAAAGAATACTACATAAAACTGCTCCTGGCTGTGCAACTGACAGAACCCTCTGTGTGCACATGGAAAAAATAATTCCACAACACCTATCACTCTTAGAAAAAGCAGGAGACAAGATGATTTCAGCATAAGGCATTCTAATAGATTTTTACTTAGAATTTTATTAGTTGCCTATTTCACCTTTCTCTGTCAAATAACTGTGATCATGGATATGCCAACTTCCAGTATAGTCTTCACTTTTGTTGCTTTCAATTTTAAGAGATGCCCAACATAAAGGCAAGTCTGAAATTTAACCATAGTGCTAAAAAGGATCTGGCTCCAAATCAAGAGGGAATCAAAAGCTATACTATTAATAATCTTTTACCCTTTAGATAAGAATCCCCAGAGTTCCCCAGGTAGAAAATAATCTACCTCTAATATTAGGAAATCACATCTAAATTTATTTTAAAATGCAATCTTTCTCCCACAAATGACAGGTCCAGTTTTAACCTCATAGATAAAGTTATTAGTCAGGCAAATCCCAGTTCTCCAAAAAGATGTTTGGCTAGCAAAGCAGCATCTTTATAGGTTTTACAACCCTGCATAGGAAAATGGGTTACATGGAGAAGGAAAATGATTCATAAAGATAAATGAAACAGTAAAAAACAGTTCAATGACTACATCAAATCTTCAGTGGGCAAATAAACCTCATTGACGTGGTCTAGGAAAGTCTAAGAACTCAGCATACTCTTTAAGGAAGTCTTGTAATTAGTTTTGGGTTCTTTGTTTGTTTGTTTACTAGTACATAAAGCTGTGCCACTCCACCTCTACTAAAGAGGGACAACACCTAGTGTATTTATGGCCCATATTGAGTATGAGACCTTTTTCCCTGAATAAATTTAAAAAAGCATTAAAATCAACAGAAATAAAATGGACGATTAAAAAAAACTCAACCCTGATCTTAACTGTTAAAGTTAATACATAGTTACACTTCTTTTTTTTTTACACTTTTTGCTAAGACACTGACATCAGTAGTTAGATTGCACACAAACTGTATACCCCGAAATACCCAAGAACCCATTTAAAATACTCAGAAGTTTTAAGGTATGCACACCAAATTCAATCCCATCCTGTTCCATATGCTGTACCTTGTGATTCAGAATATCATTCATCCTTCTGCTTGCCTCTGTTGTATGAGATTCAGGGAAGCATTTCTTAGGGACAACACCGTATTTTTCTAAAAGAAAACAAATACAAATTTTAGTGTTCACTAAAGTAAAAGTGCACTCTAGTATTAGAAACTCTGGCAAAAATATCTATTGCTTTAAGAAGTAGGCTGTATTTTGTGGGTTTAATTCAGAAAAATCTTTTTTTTTTTTGGTACTGGAGATCGAACTCGGGACCTTGCACTTGCGAGGCAGGCGCTGGAACCACTGAACTAAATCCCTGGCCCTAATTCAGAAAATCTTATGCTTTGCATTATTAAACAGGAATGCACTGGATGATGAGGTTACCCCAAAATATAATGTTTTGAATGAACACATTTTCAAACAGTTGCAGTTTTAACGTGCTTCTTAATTACATCAATGGACAAGAAATAAGCTTTTCTTATGGATAGTTCTACTTAATACTACCTTTTCTTCTCCAACCTATTCTTCACAGTACCTATGTCCTTAACATTCATTTTAAAAAGGCATTTTGTAGATCAGAATGTGAAATAAAGGGTCACAGATTGCCTTCTTTGGAACTCTACCTTATAGCTAGTGACCAAAAAATTGGTCTATTACTAACTATATAGCCTTTGTCAACTATGCTAAGTTTTACTTTCATTAGAAAAAAGGCTCTTACCAACAATATTGACAAGCATATCCCACTGCCCACCATCATTTGTAGGGTTCATAAGCAAATACTGCACCAGCCTCCCATCCTCAGGCTCCTTTTTCTGGGCCGTGTCCACAAAAGCATTCAAGAAGAAATAACAGCGTTCAACCTAGAGTAAGGAAGTTAAGTAAAATTAAAAAGGCATCCAATAACTTTATTGGCCTTAACAACAGAATAGGAGCTTTGGAACTACCATTATTCCAACATAACAGGTATTTTTAAACTAAAGTTGGCAATTTAAATATCATTGTCTAGCTTCATGAGAATATTTAAAGTTTGGGCTGGAAGTGTAGCTCAGTGGTAGTTTCTGCCTAGCATGCTTAAGGCCCTGTGTTCAATTCCCAGAACCACAAAAACAAACAAATACCGAAAACAAGTCCTTAATCAACAAATACCTAATGGACACATGCAATATACATTTTAAAGATTTTAAAATAAACTTACTGCTCTTCAGACAAGTACAAACCAGAGAAGGAGAATTAGGTACTAGACAGACCAAATAATCTAAGTAAAGATGATAAAAATGGAAATTACTGAGAACCAAATTAAGAATTTAAAATAATAGTAGTAACCAGCAAGGTGAGTCAATAGTAGACTCATTTTTTTACTGTAAAAAGCAGTCACCTGCCAACCAAAAGCAATTTTGCCTTTCAAACAGTCACCTTTTGAGACTTCAGAAATTAGAATAGTGTCTCACCTATAATGAAAGTAACTATAACTAGAAAATCAAGGAAGGAAGAAGCAATTTCTATTAAGGTTGATATCAAAACAAAAAGATTGTGCAACATCAGTCCCATACCTTGTCCCAGAAAAAGATGTAAGACTGACTAAACTCAAATTCTTCAATATTTAATTTTTTCATGAATGGAAGTCTCATAACATTCATACAAGAAAAGATCCAGCATCGCCCTGAAACAAGAAAACAAAACAAGAAATTATGAGTGTCCACATAGATTCCATTGCTTCAGATGTATTTCCCAATGCTTACTTAACCTATGAGAAGATCTGGATAATTTAAACTAAATCAGGAAGATCTGAAATATTAGAATAAAACGAAAGACACCTAGTAATTACTATTTGCAATATATGTGGTTTAATATCTTTTATACAGGTTTAGCATCTTTGCTATTTAAAAAACCTTGTTTCTCTCCTTTTGAGATTGGGGTCTCACTATGTTGCTTAGACTGGTCTTGAACTACTAGGCTTAAGTGATTCTCCCATCTCAGCTCTGTCTAGGAGCTGGGACTATAGGTGGGCATGCTACTTGGCTAAAAAAACTTAATACACATCACATGAAGAATCCATTACAAATCACCTAAGTAAGCCACATTAAAAAAAGAAACACCACTAGAAAAACATGAAGAGAGATCATTCTGGAGCTAGAAAAGATTTAAATGGCAAAGAAACATTTTTTAAAGTTCATTATACGATACATGTTAAGCGGGGAAACATCTTTTTAAAAAAATTCATAATATCCAACATTAGTAAAGGATGGGGAACTAAGTTGGTACTAAATGGTTAAGGGTAATTTGACAATTTCTAGTAAAAATTTTTAAAAGTCCCTACCCTTTACTATGGAAGTATATAGTATATGCTTCAATAAAAAGTGAACCTAAGGACCAGGGATACAGCTCAGTGGTTCCAGCACCTGCCTTGAAAGCGCAAGGTCCTGGGTTAGATCCCTGGTACCAAAAAAAAAAGTGAACCTAATAGAAGTCAATCCCCTATCTCCTCTATCCTCCTAATAATGAAAAAAAAAAAAAAAAAAAAAAAATATTTGCCTAACTGGTTTATATAAGCATTTAAAGATATAGAGGATACTTGGGAGGCTAAGGGAGGCTAAGGCAGGAGGATCACTTGAGTCCAGGAAATGAAGGCCAGCCTAGCCAACACAGATCCCATCCACCCCCCTAAAATATATGTACCTACTGTATTTAAAAAATATATGGATGAAACAGTAAATTGTCTACCTATTAAAATCATGTTAATTCATTTATTTAGAAGCTGTTTTCCCCACTTTCCCATTTTATTTTCAGACTGATTCATACTCTTTACAAGTATCTTGGCCTCAGTGCCTTTGCACTGATTTGACACCTTCAATCAGATCACATCATCTTTCTTCCATTAAATGGAATAAAATAAGTAAATTTCAGTCACAGCAATGTTTGAATCCATGCATGATGCTGTCCCTGAAAATTTTAAACCAAGTATCAACTATACAACCACATTTCTTATTTATCCTATAAATGTATAATCAGAAACTCTACAATGTCATCACTTCTTGTACTGATTTAAGTTATCTTTTAAAGTACATTGATATCCAATATTTCTATGCGAGGTCATATACTAGGAATATACTGTATTCAATTTTTTTTTTTTTTTGCCTCTTCAAAAAACTGATTCAATCAAATGTTCTCTGTAAGCATCCAAAACCAGCACGGATTGATATTACTTCTGCCAAATTGTACTCTAAGATAAATTAACATACTTATGCCCATTCTGAAAGACTGTGTAAGGCCTTGAAGACAGAGTAATTTTTTTCTGAAGGAAAATTCAGAGGGAAAATTTTTGACTTATATTTGGGTATAACTTTTTACTCATATGAAACTATTTGCACAATATACAGGTAAGTTAATAAGGTAGGTTATCTAAAAATGTATAAGGCATCAACTCATCTTAAACACAAATACACACAGAGCTGACATACAGAAAAAATAATATCCTGTGGATATTTTGCAAATTTTCTATGTTGAACAAAAATAATTTTCTAACAGGAAAAAAACTTAAGTAGTATTTCTCAAAGTCACGGATGCCTCACCAAAGCTCATCTTGACCTTAGGCTTATCTGTATGTCACCTCTTTCCTAAACACTATATATTTCCAGTAGAAGGAATCTGGATGAACTGTGCATGTGAAAACTGACCTAAACTATGTAGGAGTATTGTGACATTACTAAGGTAACTGGATCATTTGTAGCCTGATGGCCCATACTACCCCCTAAGCACTTTCTATTATCCCAAAACATTAATTATTGCAAGGTCATAATTTTTCCCTTAAAATTTAAAAATAAGTTGCTTTGAAGCATAATTTACATATATGTTAAATGTACACTATGAGTTTGACACTGGGTCCAATTAAGCAGTAATGTGCTTTTTGTCAATAAAGATACACTAGGAGGAGTTTCTAACTGGAGAGAGACCTTTTTTTAAAAAACAATTCTCCCTATATAGTCTAGGCTGGCCTTGACCTCCCTACGTAGTCCAGGTCAACCTCAAACTTTCAGCACCTCTAGTGCTGAGATCACAGGTGTGAGCCACCAGGTATGGTGAGAAAGACTTTTTTTTAAAAAAAAATGCGTTTAGTAAAATTTTGTTGTTCAAATGTTCTCCTTGGATTCCCAGATAACCAATCTTTCACTGTAGATGTTTTTATGATAGGGTGCTAGAGAGTAGACAGCAAAAACAAGAACTCCCAATCAGCAAGGCAAGAGAGCTTAATTTTAGTATTACAAACTGGTCTACTGGTGGTAACTGAGCACATCAACTCCAACCAAGAAGCATATTTAAAAATAACATTTGATGACACTTTGATGTAATTACATATTGTCTTTTCTATTTCATACATTTGTATATGCTTTCAGGGCAATACTGGGAATCTTCCCGAGAATGAACATTTTTGCCGTCTGTTTTGGGATCAAGAGCACAGACAAGTACGCAAGACATGGGGTTGCAATCATGGAACATCAACACAGAATAGAATGAATTGCAGTTTAAATGTATGACGTCGGATTTCACAATTTAGTGCTTACACTAAATGTGCCAAGAAGCTACAGTGCACCAAAACAAGACCCAAAGGTAATGTTCTTAGATCTGCTTTTTACCTGTGCCTAGCTCTGGATGTACTACAAGCTCTTTCAATATAAAACTCTGTTCTCCTAAGGTCATTCTTAAGACACCAAATTGGAATGCTGTCAGAAAAGTCAAGTAAAGTATACAAGAAGTTTCAGGTCTCACCAGAACTCTTCTGGTTGGTGACTGGCTTGCCTTCCTGAGAAACAACATGCTGGAACACATGCTGTGCACCCTGTACCGAGGCCCTCTTCAGGCAGATGTCCAGGAGGTCGTGGGTGGTCCCGACATTCTGGGCGAGTACAAACTGAGGGTCAGAATTCAGTTTCTGGATCAGAGCAGCTACCTTTTCCGAATTCAGTCCTGTTGGGAGACCAAACAGAAATGATAACATCAAAAGGAGGATGAAAGGGCTGTTCCGGGGCTCCCGTCTCCTTGGGTCTAACTTTGTACACGCATCCTGAGGTGACCACTGAAGCAGGGAAGGCCTTTTACCGGCGTCCTCCTCCAAGATGCTGCTGTCTCCCTCCAGACCGCTCCATCCCCGCCATCGCCCCGGTCCCAGCCCCCGGCCTTCGGGGCCGCCGGGCCTCACAGGTCCCACGGAACCGCCAGAGAGGACCCCGGCAGGCACTCGGGGGGGAAGAGCGGCGCCTCACCCGCGCTGTTCATGGCGCCCACACTGCCGAGTGAGATAACGTTAGTTTTTGGGGTGGTGTCTTCAGGTGAGCGTTGCGGTTGCACTACGGCCCGCTTGCTAGGTGGCCCGACCCGGCTCTCGCACCCGGAGCGCCGGAAAAAGGAAACCAGCTCGTTGGCTGCGAGGAGGTTAAGGCCTAGAGAAACGGGGTCCGCGGAGGGACAAAACTTCCCCCTCGCGTTGCTGACTCAGCGCCATTGGGGCTGGCCCCGCCCCGGGGAGGGCCGACGGGGGCGTCCTCGCTGACGCGCGCGGTTGGGCCAGTGCCCCCGCACGGGCGGCTCTCAAGGTTAGTGCCGCCCGGGTTCGCAGTCTTGTGTGGTCGCTTGCTTTCTGGAGATGTGGGTGCCTTCCGCCATCTGTGATCCCTCGTGCTGGTCACAGAGCCCCCTTCTTGGGACCAGTCCCGCTTTGAGGAGGGAGGCTGATGGGTTTCCATACCTCGTCCAGACGCCAAATAGCTTATTATCAGGAATTGACTTCATTGAATCTTTTAAGAACCCTGAAAGGCCCTAAGCAGCGAGGAGGACAGAAAGGGCTCAACGTGAAGCCCAGGGTTTGGGATGGGTTGACATATCTCAAGAAATCCACCCAACGGGTTTTCCTACAGGCATCTTTTGCTAGCCAATCACTACATTTTCAATGGCAACTTGTTGCTTGGATTCTAGTCAGAACCAAGTACTTGTATGTGAGGGGAAATTGGAATCAATCCCTTTACCACCCACTCAGAAGCTACTACCGTGGTTCTACAAATATACATCTGCTCATTTCAAGAAAACTACACATTCTGGGCTTCATGGAGTCTGCGAGTTGCTCCTTCTTAACCCAGCATGTACAGCTCAGGCTTCTGCGTCAATGTTTTGACGGACTGTCTAGAAAACCAGTAAATAATGGCCTCCCCAGGCTTTCAGGATTACAGTAGTATTCCAAGGTTTGGGGGACCCACGGAAAAACAAGTACACGTATAACTGCCTTAACACTAAAATCTTGCTATTTGAAACGAGTTTTCTGTGGAACCTAGAATCTAGGTCTTCGACTGAAAATCATCACTGGTACTAAGGAATATGCGAAAAAATCCATAAACAGACACCAGTCAGTCATTTGAGAAATCACAGTTTCTATGTCCCTAGAGAGACTTTGCTAAAAATTGGCAATATGACATAGCAACTGTCTCTAAGGGAGCCCAGCAACCAACTTATTTGGAGATTCTTCCAGTATCTGAAAAATAAAGGAACAAGCTAAAAATTATGCTGAAAGAAACCATCAGTTCTTTCACAAAACAATGTTTAAGATTCTTGCCCAATTAAAATCATGTTTTTATTCAATATCTAACATACCAGGCTGTTGATGATATGAAGACTAAAACACTCTAACTTGCTCTTAAACTCATAATGATGTGGGAACGAGGTCCAAAAACCTTTCAAATGGTGTAAACTAGCATACCAATAGTACTGTAGAAGCAATGGATAGCTATTAATTGGGGATAAAGATACCTGAAAAAAACAAGTGTCCAGATTGAGAGGAGTTTGGCTCAGTGGTAGAGAGCTTACTTAGTATGCATGAGGTCCTAGGTTCAGTCTCCAGCATCACAAGAGGGGAAAAAAGTGATGGTGTAATCTCGAAGAGTGGATGAGATTTTACAAGGCAAAAACCAGAAGGGCATTGAAGGCACCAACATAAAGCACAGAGACATGAAAGCACATGCCAGAATCATGTTAAAGTCATTGTGCATCATAATCTGATGTGGTTAAGAGCAAGGAATGTGTTGAGACCAGAGGCAGGGTGTAGGACAGGAAAAGTAGGTTTGATCCAGGATCTAAAGGGTTTTATATGCCACAGCTAGCATCTGGAGTTTATCTTATGCTTAATTAAAAGCCAAGATAGGGTTTTAAACAAAGGAGCACTGCCGCTGCCACCCACCTCGAAAGTGCAAGGTCTCGAGTTTGATCCCCGGTACCAAAAGCAAAACAAAACAAAAAACCAAAACACAACAAAGGAGCAATATGCTCAGATCTGTGTAAAGAAAAACCTGGTGACAGTGAAGGAAGACAAGTGGGTGACTGAAATAGGAGAAATTCTGGAGATAAGGAAACCAGTTAGAAAGCTATTCCAGTAGTGAACTTGGGATATAACATAAGTCATAGACTGTCTGCTGGGTTGTTTCATTATTGTCGTTGCTGCAGTGATGTAATGGTTATTACTGTGTTGTATTATTGTTGGTACTGTCTTGTTTTTCCCTCTCAGTACTGGGGATCAGATCCATGGCCTCATACATGGTAGGCAAGTTCTCTACCACTAAGCTACATCCCAAGTCCAAAAACTTTAGACTATGGGAAGAGAAGAGGCATAGATAACCTTGAAGTTTTAAGTTGAACAAGAAGATGGCAGGGGAAATGCAGAAAAATAGTCATATTTGAGAGTATGCAGGTTGTAGATCTGAATTCAGTTTGAACTGTGGCAAGTTTGGGGTACCAACAGTGATCCCAGGTAGAGAAGTCCAAGAGGCATGTGAGATCTCTAGAGATTAGGTAAAACACATAGGTTAGAGTTGGAACATGAAAGTAGATGAAGTTGCAGAGGGAAAGAGGATAGAGCAAGAAAAAGATGGGCACCAAGGATGGTACTTGGGCTGCAGCATATAGTTATTTGCACAGGATATTCAGGGCACAAGAGCATCAGGCTGAGTATCCCACTTTGAGTTGGAGGAATATAGGTTCCAAGAAGTCTATTCTTGGGGAAATGTCTTCCTGGGTGGGTGATTTGGGATGAACCCACTGGGAAACCAGTTTTATTCTGTATCTCCTTTCCTGTTCCCTTTAGGAAGTGTGCTGCCAAGCTCTGTGTTGCCAAGCTGTGTACCCTGGCCCAGGGATGTGCCCAACCAGGGTATCATGTGCCATTGAGGGGATAGCATTAGCTTCAAAACAGAGGAGCCAGCAGAAAAAAACAGAACAGTCAGAGAAGTTGAAGAAGACCTGAGGATTTGTTTCCTGGAATCTCAGAAAGGCAAGAAGGTGATTAATGAAGCTGCAAGGTGCAGACAAATCAAGTAAGATTGGATTTGGCAACTGGGTCAGAGGCTGCCTTGGAAGGGTAGTTGCAGCGGAAGGGTGGAGTGGGCAGAAGCCACATTGGAGCAAGCAGAGAGGGAGGTATTAGGGAAGGTCTTTCTGAGGAAAGGAAAACTTACTTCTACTGAAGATATAAGGGAAGAACCAGTATAGATGAGAGATTAAGTGTATATTAGAGAGGGTACAATTGCTAATATTAAGAATTTGGTAAACTAGAAGGAGATGGAATCAGTGGGTAAGGTGGAGGGGACCAGTTTTACAGCTATTGCCACCCTTTTCATGTCAGTGATTATATTTCTCCACCCCATGCCCAGAGATTCCTATCATCTCTTTGCCGGATCTCCTACTCTGTCCTTGTTGGGATGGCAGCCTTTGTATTGGGCTTTCCACCCAGCAATTCACAAACACACTCGGCCCCCATGTGGGCATAGAAAGGAGGTACAGAATAAAACTGGTTTCCCAGTGAGTTTGCCCCCAATGACCCACCCAGGAAGACATTTCCCCAAGAATAGAATTCTTATAACCTAATATATCCCTCCAACTCAAGCAGAGGAGATATTGTGGGGTCCAGTGGTACCTTACAGAACAAAACAAATAGGAACAGAATTCTAGTATGAAATCCACACTATTAGAAAAGGAAACTTTTATAAAATCTATAAAGTAGCACCATCTTCCACTGCATGCAAGCCCCCTAACTACGGCTTCTATGGTGTTCCACCCAGTTAAAACAAACAGGGCTAGGGCCAAGGATTTAGCTCAGTGGCCCCATGGCTGCCTAGTAAGTGCAAGGTCCTGAGTTCAATCAAACAAACAATAACAACAACAAAAAACAGCACCAGTCTCAAGGCAAATTTTCCATCCTTTGCTTCTCCTTTTTTGCTAATGGCACTAATCTTGCCATGTGTTGGCCAAATGCTTCTATTTTGATGAAAAAGATCAGTTCTTTATGTTGGATGGAAGCCTGGCAGAGGAACCAGCATATAGGAAGGAAAGGCCCTGGAGTCTAGCACATCATTTTGCAATTCTATGAAACTCATTCACATCTGAACACTGTCCCAACTAACTCTGAGATTTGCTTTGGTCAGAAACCCTTCTGATATTTTATCAGGCCTTATAGTATACTTTAGAATGCATATGTTGGTAGCCTACTGGGCCAGATTCAGCTCCTAGATGTTTTGTTTGATTAAATGTGATTTAAATTTTTTGAGACAAAATTTAGAATTTAGAAGTTTTATAAGCCTGAGTAGCTAGCTTCTCTTAAAAATATTATCATTTTTTCAATCCCCGGTACCAAAAAAAAACAAAAAAAAATTATCATTTTCCTACAATACTAATTTATCCATCAAAAGTGAAAAAACAAAAACATGGGAGTGGTCCTATAAGGCATTTCATGTGATTTTCTTTATAGCATATTTCACTCATTTGCATTCATTGCCAGTAGATATTTGAGTTTTTAAATTCCTGATGTAAAGTGACCTATGTGGAGTTTAGGAAGATTAAATCTCCCTTTCAATTCTTACTTCCTCCTTAACCTCATCCCTGGAATGATTGAAACCAGCCAGAAGTGATCTGCTAAGACTTTGATATTGAATCCTAGGACTTCCTGGGCCCAAAGGAACCTATATCCCTTCATTACATTTTTTCTACAGAATGAGGCATGTACCCAGGTGAGTACAGGTAAGCTGGTTTTATACTTTCCCTGCTACTCCTAAACCCCATCCTTGAATCAAGCTTTGTCTCTTCCTCCTTTGGCCTAAAGAGCTCAGAATCAGATTTTAAGTATATTCAGCATTTGTTGTAAGTTATGTATAAGATTATTTGTTTTGAAACATTATCCAATGTAGACTCTTTGGATTTGGAGCCCATGGGTACAGAAGTCCAACTGTATTTGAATTATGCAAATTTGAAATAATTTGTTATAAACAATAATACCTTTCTATATGAAATCTCAAGCAATGTGGGGCTCTCACAATTGTCAGGAATTGCATACTTTCAAAACTGGTAATGGGAGCCAGGCATGATGATAACCCCAGCACTTGGGAGTCTGAGTAAGGAGAATTGCTGTAAATTTGAAGACAGCCTGGGCTCCATACTGAGTTCAAGGCCAGCCTGAACTACATAGGGAAACCCTGTCTCAAAACAAAAACAAACACAAAGACTGGTGATGGTGAACTAGAAACTATTTATATTATTGCCACATGGCGGAGCCAGTTTAGCTGCAAGAAATAGTATCTTTCCTTCAATAAATTTATGTGTATTGCTATAAAAAAGTAATCTTGAAATGTGGAGGTTTTAAATTTTATTTGAAGGTTTTTGGACTATCTTTTCCATAAAAGCCAGTTGCTCTAGAATTTATGTGATTGAAGCATACAGTAAATGGTGAGAGAAAGGAAGCATATAGGAGGTGAGAAATAAGATTGAAAAGATGTTAAGGCCAGATCATAAAGCACTTTGTGGAACATGAATCCTTCATTCATGGGAAGATTACATATGCACAAGATCTCCCAAGGAGAAAAATGGAAGAGAATCATCTTCAAATGATATTGTTACTAAACAAGGCCTGTTTCACCTGTTGTGCAGGATACCAGTTACAGAAACAAGATTTCCAAAAGAGAAAGCATTTATTCATGAGGTGGCTATATGTGGAGACAGAGAAAAAAATCTCAAATCCGCCTCCCTGAAGATTGGAGGTACTTATGTGCTAAGGAGTGGGGAAACATGAATGGGGGTTAGGAAGTATTTGGTGGCCTGCATATATGTAGTTAAACTTCACCTTACTGCCATGACTCATATGTCAGAGATGTTATCCATACTTCTAAAATTAGTGATTTTAAAAGTCAACTAAATTCAGTAGCATAGCAGGATACATGGTCAGCACTCAAAAATCAGTAGTGTTCCTGTACACCAATAATAAACTCACCGAGAAAGAAATTAGGGAAATGGGCCGGGGATTTAGCTCAGTGGTTTCGACGCCTACTGCGCAAGCGCAAGGACCTGAATTCGATCCCCGGTACCAAAAGAAATTAGGGAAACAATACCTTTCACAATAGTGTAAAGAAAAATTAAATACTTAGAAATTAACCTAACTAAGGAAATGAAAAACATCTGCAATGAAAATTACAGTACTCTAAAAAAAGAGGAAATTGGAAAATGGAAAATACTCCCTGTCCCAGGACAGGCAGTATGGCCATACTTCCAAAACTGTTACACAGATTTAATGCAATCCCAATCAAAATACCAAGAGCATTCCTCACAGAACTAGAGGAAACAATCCTAAAATTCCTATGGAACCAAAAGAGACCTAGATAGCAAAAGCATTTCTGGGCAACAAGGGCAAGGCAGGAGGCATCACAATCCCAGACTTGAATTTATATTACAAAGCTACAATGATAAAACAGTATGGTATTAGCCAAAAACAGACTTGTGGATCAATGGAACACAATGGAGGATGCAGAAACAAATCCAGGACACTCAGCTCCCTTATCTTTGACAAGGGGGCTAGATACTTTCCCTGGAGGAAGGATAGCCTCTTTAACAAATGATGCTGGGAAAACTGGCTATCCACATGCCAAAGATTGAACTTAGACCCATATCTCTCACTATGCAGTAAACTAAAATCAAAATGGATCAAAGATCTAAATATTAGGGGCCGGGGATTTAGCTCAGTGGTTTCACCGCCTGCTGCGCAAGCGCAAGGACCTGAGTTCAATCCCTGATACCAAAAAAAAAAAAAAAAGATCTAAATATTAAAACAATACTACTGGAAGACAAAATAATAAAACTTTTTTTTTTTTTTTTTTTGGTTTTTTGAGAGAGGGTCTCACTATATAGTTCAGACTGGACTTGAACTCACTATGTAGCCCAGGCTGGCCTCAAACTCACAGCAATCCTCCTGCTTCAACCTCCTGAGTGCTGGGTTTACAGACATGTTCCACCATACCCAGCCCAAAATAGGTAAAACCCTTGAAGACAGACGTAAGCAAGGACTTTCTGAACAGAATTCCAGTTGCACAAGAAATAATACCGGAAGTAACACATGGGATCATATCAAATTAAAAGCTTCTGCACAGGGCCAGGGATTTAGCTCAGTGGTTTTGCCACCTGCTACGCAAGCGCAAAGACCTGAGTTCGATCCCCCGGTACCAAAAAAAAAAAAAAAAAGCTTCTGCACAGCAAAGGAAACAACCAATGGAGTGAAGAGACAACTTACAGAGTGGGGAAAATTTTTGCCACTACTCCTCAAAGTACTAACATCTAAAATATGTAAAGAACTCCAAAAAATTAGACCCTGCAAATTTAAAGACCCAATCAAAAAATGGGCATCAGAAATAAATAGACACTTCTCAGATGAAGAAGTAAAAATGGCCAGTAAATGTATGCAAAGTGTTCAATATCTCTGGGTATTTGAGACATGCAAATTAAAACAACACTGAGATTTCATCTGACTCCAGAAAGAATGGCTATCTTCAAGAAATCAAATAATAACAAATGCTGGGGAGGCTGTAGGGGAAAAGGAATCTTTCTTCATTGTTGTTATGAATGTAAACTGGTACATCCACTATGGAAATAAATCAGTATGGAGATTCCTCAAAAAACTAAAAATACAAATTTCAATTCAACCCAGCTATTTCCCTTCTAGACATCTTTTGGAAAGAGTTAAAGACATCATATCACAGTGATGTCAGCATACTCATGTCTATAGCAGCACAGTTTATACTAGCTAAGTTTTAGAAGCAGCCTATATGTCCATTAACAGATGAGTGGATAAAGAAAATGTAATATTTATACACAGTGGAGTACTACTCTGCCCTAAAGAAGGGTAAACTGGAGACATTCATAGGAAAATGGGTGCACCTTGAGACCATGTTAAGTGAAGTAAATCAGACATGCCAACTTAAATATTACATGAGAAACCTAAAATATAAATAAAGTGCAAAATAAAAAATAGACAATAGGAAAAAAAGAAAATTTTATGCAATATTCATTGATAGACAACTTAAAAGAATAATTCAGGAGCATCTAGTCATTTTAGAGAGCACATACCCTTCACGTACTTAGTTCTGCATAAAGAAGTGATATACAGAGCTATCCATTGTGCCAGTTTGCATAAGAGAAAAGAAATGAACAGTCTTTTTTAGTAGAAGAATGAGCAAATGCAATGGGTTAATGAGAGAGTGGTTTATCTACACAAAACTAATCAAAATAAAATATTTAGTATTTCTACAGGTTAAAAAAGTCAACTAAAAGCGGGGGAAGCAGATTAAGTCTAGGAAGCAAATAGCTAAGAGCAGGTGAAGACGTGGGTTAAGTCTCTAGTGTTTATTCAACTTGGCATTATATTTCTCCAAAATCAGCCCCCTGTCCATTCATCGAACTGCCTATTGAGCACTTACTGTTTGGAAGCAAGGCCAGGGGTATAGCTCAGTGGTGCCACACCTTCCTGGCAAGCACAAGGTCCTGAGTTCAATCCCTGGTACTGTAAAACAAACAAACAAACAAAAAAACAATTTGGAAGCAACTGTGCTAGGCTAGGTGCTTGAAATACAAAAAGGAGTAAGACTTTAGTCCCTGACTTCACAGAGCTTCAATTGGGGGTGGGGGATGATCAACAAAAGTAATCATTATTTTTTGATTAATACTAAAAACTTTTATTGAGCATTACTTTGTGTCGACACCGTATTAGACAGAAAAACAAGAAAACTAGACAGAATGTTTACATTCTAGTGGAAGGGGCTAAACAATAAACAAACAAACATATATGATTTGAAATAATGGTATAAAGAAAATGAAACGGGGTGATATGATAGTGATGATAGTGACTGGCCAGGGGCAATGGTGACATGAAATCCTCTTCAAGGAGGTAACCATTTGGGCCGAGACTGAATACCAATAAGGATCTAACCTTGTGAGAATCTGTAGAAGAAAGTTGCAAGAAGAAGGGAAGGAAGTATAAAGGCCTTGGCATAGAAACAAGCAGTGCTCAACAAAGTCATAAAGAACCCATGCTGGGCATGGTGAAGCATTCCTGGAACCCTAGCTACTCAGGAGATTGACACAGCTGGATTTCAAGTTCAAGGCTAGCCTGGGTGACTTAGACCCTGCCTCAAAAGAAAAAGAAAAAGAAAAAGAAAAAGCAAGGCTGGAAATGAAGCACAGTAATAGAACATTTGCCTAGCACATGTGAAGCCCTAGACTCAATGCCCAGTACCCAGAACAAAACATGAAACAAAAATAAACAACCCACAAAAACAAAGGGCTGGGGATTTAGTTCAGTGGTTCTGCTGCCTGCCTCGAAAGCACAAGGTCACGAGTTTGATCCCTGGTACCAAACCCCCCCCCCCCAAAAAGTGTCTTTTCAGCATTATAATCTGGCACCCGTGGGGTTAGCATTATCTTGGGCTCATTCTCCTGTGAATCGTCCCAAGTCCAGTGGAAAAAGGACTGACTTTTTCTCACTTCTTCCTAAGAATGAAGACCAACTTTCCTAGAAGATCTCTCTCTCTCTCTCTGCATTTTATTGTCCAAACTGAAGGCATGTGGCTTTTCCTGCAGCAGTTTGGCCAGGAGGATGGGATTACCCTTGCATCAGTCAGGCCTGTCCTGAGTGCAGTGGTCAGTCCCCACAGCGGCACTGCCTCTTCTCAGTACTGCAGGGATGGGATGGATGTTGAGAGCCA